GGGGAGATTTGCTAGCGCCACACAGGAGGGTTTAAGTTAATCTGGCAGGAGGGAGATGAAAAAGAAGGTTGAGAACAGTACAGAGGTTAATGAGAACAAGTTAAATACTAAAGGCAATGTTAGTAATCCTAGTACTATACAGGGCAAGCAAGAGCGTGGCAAGAAGCAAGGGTAGTCTTGGTTAAACTGCATTTATTTCAATGCAAGAGGCCTGAGGAGTAAGGCACATGATCTCAGGGCATGGTTGGGTACATGAGACTGGGATATTAAAGCTGTTACAGAAACATGGCTGGGGGAGGGACAGGATTGGGCAGCTCAATGTTCCGGGGTACAATTGCAATACAAAGGATGAGAGAGGAGGGGGAGTTGCGTTTTTTTTAGGGAGAACATTATAGCAGTTCCGAGAGAGGGCATTCTTAAGGGTTTGTCCATTGAGTCTATATGGATAGAACTGAGAAAGGGGGAGATCACTTTGACGGCATTTTACTACAGAACCCTCAATAGCCAGCGGGACATTGAGGAGCATATATGTAAGGAGATTGCAGATAGCTGCAAAAATAATAGGGTTGTAATATAGTGGATAATAATAGTGGATTTTAACTTTCCTAACATCATCTGGGACTGCTGTAGTGTTAAGGGCTTGGATGGAGAGAAATTTAAGTGTGTTAGGAAGAATTTTTTCAGGCAGTATGTAGAGGGGCCCTACTAGAGAATGGGCAAAACCTGACCACCTCTTGGGAAGTAAGGCGGGGCAAGTTATGGATGTGTTAGTGGGGGACCATTTTGGGACCAGTGACTATAATTCCATTAATTTTAAGCTATGGAAAAAGATAGGTCTGGTCCACAAGTTAAAGTTCTAATTTGGGGCAAGGCCAATTTTGATGGTCTTTAAGCAGGATCTTTTAAATCTAAGAAGGTTTACTAGACTAATACCTAGAATGGGTGAGTTGTCTTGGGGAGAAAGATACAAGCCTAGCCCATCTAATCTACCGGAATTTAGAAGACCAAGAAGCAACTTGATTGAAATGCATAAGATCTTGAAGGATCTTGATGGAGTGGATGTGGAAAGGATCCTATGTCTCTTGAAAGAATCGAGAACTAGATTTCAGACACAAATGAGGATTTTTTTTTTGTCAGAGGATTGAGAGATTTTGAATCTCTTCCTCAATAGGTGCTGGCAGCAGGTTCCTTTGAATATATTTTAAAAGCAGGTTCCTGCTCCTAACTTATGTTTGTCTGTTGAATTTGTATATCAGAACCCTTGTGTCACTTGTCTTTTTATTATTAATGAGGACAATTGTTATGTCTGTATTTGTAATTTACTCCTCAAACCTGTCGATTCTCAGCATTAAATGCCACAATTTTATTAAGCAATTTTTATGCAATAATGAAAGGATTCAATTTGAAACCAGATAGCATGAAGCAGGGATTTATCAAAAGGATGCTTCAAAAATGAAACTCTCATAGTTTACTAAGGCTAACAGGCCTTCAGTTATTTATTTTTAATTTTATTTTTCTATTTCACTTTATAAAGCTTGATTTCAATGTGCATTGCTGTTCCATGAAACTTCAGTATTAGCCACAGAATTTTTAGATGTTCACGTAGTCAACTTTCTGTTACAGAGTGTTCTGATCACATGGACAAAAGGTTTCAAAGCAAGTGGAGTGGAGGGTTCAGATGTGGTGAAGCTACTTCGCAAGGCTATTGACAAGAGAGGGGTACGTTTAAGAGTGAATAAGATCAGATAAACTATTGTGTCCTTATTGTGATTTGCTATTTCCAACACTTGTTGCATTGATCTGGATGTTGAAGCACGAATTTTAAGAAACACGTAATGACAGGATCAATATATTCATTGAATGATGTAACTGCTCATTATTCTATCCATGCATTACTTTTTTGCAGTAAAATTCAATGGACACATATCATGTTCTGATCCCTGGGCAACTCTTTAACTGTGGCCCTAGAAGCTTTTTAATTGTGAGTGTGCCATAGAATCACAATGATTACAGTAAAGAAAGGGATCAGTTAGCATTTGTCTTTGCTGGCTCTCCAAAGAAGCAGTTCACCCTGTGCCACTCCCTCAGCATCTCATTACAACCTTGCACTTTCTTTCTTTTCAGCTAAATTCAGATCCTTCATGAAAGCCTCAGTCAGAACTGTCTCCATCATGTTTTCAGACAGTCCATCCTAGATCGTAACTCTGAGGAATGTTTCTTGGATCACCATTATCTTTGTCAGTTGCCTTAAATTTGTGCCCTTTCATTTTTGGTCCTTTCACCAATGGCAACAGTTTCCCTTTCTCTTCTGTCCATAACCTTCGTGGTTTTGAATGCCTCTGTCAAATCTCCTGTCAATCTTTTCCAAGGGGAACAGTCCAGAATTCTCTAGTTTGTCAATGTAACTAAAGTTTTGCATACCTGGTACCATTCCTATGAACTTTTTCTGCATCCCCTCTAATGGTGCCTCATCATTTCCAAAATATAGCGGTCGGAACTGGACATAATGTTCCAATTAAAGCCAAATCAGTTTACAACTTTATGCAAGTTTTAACATAGCTTCCTCGCTTTTGCATTCTGTCGACCTATTAATGAAGCCTAGGATAGTGTATGCTTTGTTAACCAGCTCTCAACCTGCTGATGCACCTTCAGTGACTTATGCACATGCACACCTAGATCAGTATGCTCCCATCAACCTGTCAGTGCTCCTCACACTTCTCAACACTTCTAAGCTTTGTATCGTCTCCACATTTGCAGGTTGTTCTCTCTACAACAATGATTCAGGTCATTAATGTAGAAAGAACAGGATTTCTAACAGAGCACCTGGGGAGCTCAACTCACTCCACAACAAACCTTCCTCAGTTCAAAAAAATCCATTAACCATTGCACTCTGCTTCCTGCCACTGGGGGGAAAAAAAAATCACTCAACCAATTTCATGTCAATGTTGTTACCATTTCTTTTATGCTATCTCTTTTATCTAATGGTGCACATAAATCTGTTGTATGGCATTGTATCAAATGCCTTTTGGAAGTCCATGTACACCACACCAATAGCTTTACCTTCCCACCCCTTTCTGTTGCTTCAACAAAAAGCACACAATTTGCCTGTAATGGACAGTGTGTCCGTAATTAACATCCACTTTCCTAAGTAGCTTTTAATTTTGACCCATATTATTGCTTGAGGAAGTTTCCCTACTGCCATAGTTAAACTGACTGGGCTTTAATCACTTTGTTTATCTTTGTACCCTTTCTTTTTAAAAAAAAAAAGGTGTAATACATAGAATTCTTCAGTCTTCCTGCGCCATTAATGAGTCCAAATTATGGACAATGCCTCCACAACTTTCCCTCTCACCTCTGTTTCCTTAGATGCATTTCATCTGGTCGTGGTACCATATCAACTTTTAAGTATAGGCAACTTCTCCGATAGCACCATCTCATCAGTTTAAACCCTTCAAGTGTCTTGGCCTGAGCAGCAAATGTTTGATTAAGACAGATGTAAGGAATTTATTTAATACGTCAGTTCTGCATTCTTCCTCCAATAAATAAATCTCATTTTAGTCCCTTATCAGCCCTTGTAGTCTTCTTGCTGGCTTTTTACTGTCTACGTGCTTGTAAAAGACTTTTGAATTTTATTTTGTTAGCTGCCAGTTGCTTCTGATACTTTGTCTTTATTGCTCCCTTTTTTTTTGTCAATTCCCCTCTGAACTTCGTGTTCAATCTGTTTTCAGTAGTGTTGTCCATTTCACTCCGGAGTGTGTTAATAACCAAACTGACAGCCAAGTTAATTTTGGCAGTCTTCCAGTATTGTGCAGTTGAGCATACTGGAAGTTGCATATATTAATACACAGAGCCCTGTTCTTTGCAAAAGAAAGAAAGCATACACATTGCATTGTGTTTCACCAAAATAGTTGATAGCCACTCTTTGTTGGTACAAACTCGGTGGGCTGAGGGGCCTATTCTGTGCTGTATGGTTCTGTGATTCCCGAGAGCAATGCCTTGCCTGGTTTAAATTTGTATAAAGCTTAGAAGTTAACTGTTAATCATCGTCTAATTAATACATATACTTCATGGCAACACACCTACCAATCAGCACTCATTTCTAATACGGTGTGAAATGTTGTTCCCCTTTTGGGTGATATTCCTATGATTGTTGTGGTGAGGGCAAGATGAAACACTTAGGCAAAATGTGTCTTTTTCCATCAATACTCAAATTTTTGGCTATATTAACACAGGATTAGAGTAGGAATGTAAGGAAGTGGTACTAAATCTTAGTTTGTCCAATGGACATTCTTTACCTATGTTTTGAGTGTTGCTAGATTATGATTGGGAGCAGGATGCTGAATGGGTTTTAGTCACTGGGATATTGGAGCGGCTTCTCCTGGCTGGGATCCATGTAGGTCAGGGGAGGAAGGGTATTTTACTCCAATCCTCTATCGGGGAGCTGTGGAACCTTTACTGCTGGTGCATTCTCATGAGTGAGTCATAGACACAGTTTATTTTGCTTCATTTCAATGCAGAAGGCAACAGCATCACTTTTTAAAGAATCTCTGGCTGGGTAACACAATTAACTTCATCTTAGCCCAAGACATTTTGGGAATATGCATAGGGTTGGATGAGATTTCCTACAATAAGAATGATTCATTTGGAGGGGCAGATGAAGGAGACTGATCAAATGATTTAAGAATAAATGGACTGGATGACCTCCTTTTGCTCTGTCATGGGCAATCAGGAAATATGTTTTCATTCAGAGGCTCCCTTTGTTGTATAGAGACCACTATTCTGAGCTCATTTAGATCTAGTCCGGACCTTGGGCTACGTGCCCAATGTTTGTGAAGCCTCAGAGATTTACCCTGGGAGTACGAGAAACTGTTAGATCCATGCAAACTTCAAATCCATAAGTTGAGGGCCAATGCCATATTAATCTCCGCTATGTTCAATTTATCCATAAATTATTTATTTTCCTGAACTGTCTATGGCTAAGAGTTGCTTTCTTTCTTAAGGACTATGATGTGGACATTATGGCTGTGGTGAATGACACTGTTGGCACCATGATGACCTGTGGATTTGATGACCAGCGCTGTGAAGTTGGTCTTATTATAGGTAACAACTTTTTATTTAATAACTGTCAATTGTAACTGTCAAACTCTTTGCCCAATGTGTGATAAATACTGGAAAATCCAAGGTTCAGTTCCTAGGTTGAGCTCCACTACTTAAGATACAAAAGCCATGAACTGATGTCATGCAGTTGTGAGATAATATTAGCAGTGAGGCTTGGGGATCCCACACTTCCCAGCTACAGAAATGTGGCTGGTGATTGGTGAAGGCAACATAAATCTTTTTGTTTTCGCTTCCTTGAGAGGTAGCAGTTGCCACACCACCGCCCCCACCACCCAACTGATCGCGAGGCAATCACCAGACCTGATCATATTAATTTTCACCCCTCCCTCCCTCCCACCAACCCCCATCACAGATCATGACAGAATGCACTCAATTCCTGACCAAATTGGAATTCCTCCAAATTAGGGATGTGAGGAATCCATCCACCCTCTTCCCCAGTCCCAAGCACATGGGAAATCTATTCCCTAACCTCCCACTGAACCCCAGGCATGAGCAAGTGCTCTTCTTCTCTGGTCAGCAACACCCTTTCACCCTGGAACCCTTTCTTCCCACGGAGTGCAAAAGACCCTTCTCAAATGTCTCCAGTTTTGTTTACCTGCTACCAAATCTCTGCTGCTATCTGTCAGTTGCTGAAATTGTTCTTTATCAGAGGCCTAATCTCCAAGTCACCTTGAGCCTTATGTGTTTTACCCTCTACCAAGCTAGTGTGTACCCTTGCCGCTACTGATCAGGGCTCCCGCAGAGAGAATGATGACGTGTTAGCTGTTGGAAGTCAGCCTGTCGTTTGTACCCCATCCAGAGTCAGCGTTGGGAGGGGAACAGAAACTTGAAATTTTGTTTTAAAAAATTTGCTTCTGAACTGATGGAATACTTATCTTTGGATTGATGTGCAGGTACCGGCACTAATGCTTGTTACATGGAAGAGCTGAGACATATAGACTTGATGGAAGGTGACGAAGGACGGATGTGCATAAACATTGAGTGGGGAGGTTTTGGAGATGATGGGTCACTTGAATCTATCAGAACAGAATTTGATCGAGAAATAGACCGTGGTTCCCTCAATCCAGGAAAGCAATTGTGAGTTCACATTTTGTTGTTTTATTAACAGAATAGCTGCTTTTTCAAGGTGGCACTTCTACTAAATGGTAGAAACGTATCTCCAACTTATTAGTTGCCTGACCACTTGGTACTGTCATTCACCAAATAGGTGATTAGGCATCATGTTATTGAGTGAAAGTTGGCCCCATTCTTTGAAGGCAGTGCTTCATTTTTGGTAATCCTGAGAAAAGTGCTGTAGAAAATTTCAGGCTCTATCTTAGCAGAAATTCCTAGCTGGAGTTATACATTGAAAGCTGCTGCACTTCGCCCTTGAGCAAGTTGGAACGCTGACCATTTTAATGCTGAGGTTGATTTTAGTTTGATGTTTGCCAGTACCTCCGATTTCAGGTGCTGAATACTACAAGCACAAAATTTAAATTATTTGAAAGCTTATGATTATTGCAAGGCCAGAGGATTTATATATTTTACTGATGCCCAACCAGAAAAGAATTGATACTTAGTTAGTAGAAAATGAAACTAATGAGCTTATATCTATATAAATTAATTGTGCAGGTTTGAGAAAATGATCAGTGGAATGTATATGGGAGAACTTGTGAGGCTCATTCTTGTCAAGATGGCCAAGGAAGGACTGATCTTTGAAGGAAACATTACGCCAGAACTGCTTACCAAAGGCAAATTGGAAACAAAGCATGTATCTGCCATTGAGAAGTAAGTAACACTTGGAGCTGTACTAATTCCATAACACAGCATTTTCTTGCACAGTCTTTGCTTCAGTCTCAAATAGTGTGGATAGCATGTCATTTTTATCCTTTCCACTTCCTTCTGAATATTACTTGTCTACAGCTCCACAGGAATTGATGCTGTTTCACTTCACGGGGAGTTTCCTTTGGCATAAGGCTGATAACTTGACTGAGATCAGTATTCCGAGTATTCTAAGTAGTATTCTGAGATCAGGCAGCTATTGGAGCCTTGTAAATTAGGCAATCACATTTCAAGTGATACGTGTTTGCATTCTGGTGAATGCCAGATGGATGAGGTTCGTACAGAAAGATTGAGCTCTGACCTTTTGAGAACGATCCCCTAGATGTAATTTTTTTAAAAATTCACTCGTTGCATGTGAGTGTTGCTGGCTGGCCAGTATTTATCACTTGTCCTTAGTTACCCTTTAGAAGGCGGTGGTGAGCTGCCTTCTTGAACCACTGCAATCTAAGTGTACTACTGATGAATGCTCATGGACTTTTCAGAGATGAATTGAATTAAATGCAGTTTATTTCATAAAATATGGTAAGGTACATTCCAACTGATTTAATCCAAAATTACTTGCCAATTTTCACAACTCTTGCATCCAAAGTGATTTGGTTGCAAAAAAATTAACTAATCATTTATATGCTTTTGAACATAATTTTAGTTTAACAATTTAAAGTTTTAAATCGTGAATAATGGAGGCATTTTGAGAAACTGGTCAGCACCCTGGAAGTAAATACAGTTTTAAAAGATTGGAGTGGGTTGCATTTATAATCATAGAATCATACGATACAGGAGGCTTTGACCCATTGAATCCGTAACATCAAAAACATACCACCACCTACACTAGATCCATTTTCCCACTTTAGGCCCATAGCCCTGAATATTATGACATTTCAAGTGCTCATCCAGGAGGTTTTTTCTCTTTAAGGTTGTGAGGCTTCTCACCTCCAACTACCTTCCCAGTCAGAGCATTCCAGACCCCCACCATCCTCTGGGTGAAAACGTTTTTCTTCAAATCCTCTCTGAGCCTCTTGCTGTTCATCTAAAACTTGTGCTCCCTTGTTATTGACCCTTCGACTAAGCAGAACAGCTGCTTTCAATTCACCCTGTTCGTGCCCCTCATAATCTTGTACACCTCTATCAGGATCCCTCCTCAATCTTCTCTGCTCCAAAGAAAACAACCTGAGCTAAACTGCTGAGCTTATCCAGCCTCTCTTCGTAGCTGAAACGCTCCATTCCAGGCAACATCTTGGTGAATCTCCTTTGCACCCCTTCCAGCGCAATAATATCCTTCCTATAGTGTGATGGCCAGAAGTGCACACAGTACTACAGATTTTTTGTATTGTTACCAGAGGCAGGCAGTTCAGTTTGGATTTTGAGAGGAAAAGGTAGCTGGAAGGTTGCTGCAGCTTGTAAGTCATGGATGAAATTGCCAGTGGTCCTCTCTGAACAGAATTTGCTTGAATAATTAGCTTGAGAAGAGCTGTACAGAATCTGTGGGTGCAGAATAGAATAAAGAAGTCTATGTACTTTTAAGGCCAGACTAAACTGCTGAGGAGTCCACAGTCATGAGGTTTTTAAAGAAAATTGGAGGATTCCTTGATTGAAAGTTAATGGAAGGACCCCCATATAACTTGTACCTTGAGGAATAACTGGAATGGTGAAGAAAATTTAAGTACGTTCTGGAGGACAGTTTCCAAGGAAATGTGAATGAACCTTCAAGATTTCGTAAGATGAGAGAACCCTGTCAGGAGGAAGTAAAGCTTAGCTTACAAAGTCGTGTTATAAATTAGTGTTAAGTCATTTATGTTGCTTTCGTAGAATCCCTACAGGCCAAACAGCCTATCGAGTCCACACTGACCCTATTCCTGTAACTCTGCACTTCCCATGGCTAATCCACCTAGCTTACACATCCCTGGACACAATGGGCAATTTAACATGGCCAATCAACCTAACCTGCACATCTTTGGACTGTGGGAGGAAACCAGAGCACCCAGCAGAAACAGCGAGAATGTACAAGCGCCACAGACGGTCACCCGAGGATGGAATTGAACCTGGGTCCTTGGTGCTGTGAGGAAGCAGTGCTAACCACTGAGCCACTGTTCTTTGGTAATTTTTGCTTGAAAAAGTGTAATTTTGAGGCTGCTCAGGTGGTTAATTGCTGCAATTTCAAATCTTTTCTAAAGGTCCACAAAAGGTCCTTAACAGATTGGTAACAAAACTGAAGTCTCTTGGCATATCTTTGAATCCTTAAACTTGGATAAGATTGAAGCTAACGAGATTATTAGGCAAACTTTATTATACATAAAAGAAGAGGTAACAATTATCCAAAGAGATAGCATGAACTGCATATGAGAGTCTGCCAGAGTCCAGATGAAGGATGTAAATCCAAAACATCGACTTTCCTGCTCTGATGCTGCCTGACCTGCTGTGTTCCTCCAGCTCCACACTATTGACTGTAACAATTATCCAAAATTAGATTAATAGAATTATTTTAAGAATTAACTTGGAGATAAAAGCAGGGTTAAGGTCAGTTAAGTAGAAGCTAGAATATTTGTTGCCATTGTATTGCATTTGGAATTAGAAGGAAGAAAGGTTAAGCCAGGTAAAATATAAACCAAAAACAGAAATTGCTGGAAATGCTCAGCAGGTCTGGCAGCATCTCTGAAGAAAAATCAGAGTTAACGTTTTGGATCTGGTGACACTTCGTCAGAACATTTTTTTGGGGAAATTCTGAGGAAGGAACACCGGACCCGAAACGTTAACTGTGGTTTTTTTTTTTTTCTTCACAAATACTGCCAGACCCGCTGAACATTTTCAGCATCTTCTGTTTTCGTTCCTGATTTACAGCATCTGCAGTTCTTTTGGGTTTTTATAAAATATAGATCAAGTTGTCTAGGATTCCGATGCAGATGAAGCAGTATGAACTTGAAGAAAAAGAGAAGCAAGAGAACTGAAATTTCAAACTAGAAAGAGGAAAAGAAGTAAAAACTGGAAACAAAAGGAGAAGTTGCTGGAAAAGCTTAGCAGGTCTGGCAGCATCTGTGAAGAGCAATCAGAGTTAACATTTTGGGTTTGGTGACTCTTCCTCATAACCCCAGGCCACCCGTGCTAGGGATGTTTAAAGCCAGAAAATGGACCTTAAAGTCCACAGTCATGAGCTCTTTAAAGAAAACTGAAGGAAGGATCCCCACAAAATTTATACCTAGAGGAATAATCCACATTCTAAGGAGAATTAAATGACATACCTGAAGGGCTGTGGTACATTTTCTGAGTTGGTCCCAGGAGAAGTGAATAAACTTTTAAGATTTCATAAGCGGTGAGAATTCTTGGGGTGGAGGTAATGTTGACAGCTCTAGCCAGGATTTAACAATTCTATGACCTTTGTTTGTTTTACAGAAGCAAAGGTGGTTTGCTGAAAGCCAAGGAAATTCTGACACGCCTGGGCCTGGAGCCATCAGATGAGGATTGCATTGCTGTGCAGCATGTTTGTACAATTGTTTCTTTCCGTTCAGCCAATCTGTGTGCTGCTGCCCTTGGAGCCATCCTGACCCGACTTCGTGATAATAAAGGAGTGCCAAGACTCCGCACCACAGTGGGAATGGATGGATCACTCTACAAGATGCATCCACAGTAAGTCATTGCCATCAATTGCCTTACTTAATTTTAAAATAGACCATCAAATTAAACTGCACAGTCTGCTTTCAAGAATGACCAGCTGACAATTTAAAGGAATGAAAAGCCAGCTGCTTTCCAACTACTGAATTTAACACCCAGCTCTGTGCGCATGTAGGTAGGACAATTTTATTTGAGAGAGTGAATCAGTCCTACACGTTTGTTGAATTATTGTATAAATACTTGATTGAAAATCAGATTTATGTTTTACATCTTTCCTCCAAAGTGTGTAATTATGCTGGCTATAATTCCAGGGGAAGGTTTCAAATTTTGGTCTAGGACGAGGTGCCGTGGGTCTTAGAAACGGGAATAGGCCATTTGGCCCCTCAGGCCTACTGCATCACTCAGTATGATCATGGCTCATCTGGTAGTGTTCTCATCTCCACTTTCCTGTCTGCACTTCAGAATCCTGTAATGTCCTCTAATTTTAGTATCTCCCACATGGTTTAATAAAATCTCTTCTCATTCTTCTAAATGCCAATTGACGTAACCGTTCAACTTTTTTTGTAAGATAAGCCTTTACGTCCCAGAAATAAATTGAGTGAAGCTTCCTTGAATTACTTCTAAAACAGTTATCCTTTTTCAAATTAGGAGACCAAAACTGCACACAATACCAGACGTGGTATCAACAGTACCCTGTATTGCTGCAATAAAACTTCCATAGTTTTATATTCCCTTCCTCTTGTAAAAAGCATCAACATTATATTTACCTTCCTTAATCACTTGTTGTATCTGCACATTCTCTCTGTGATTCATGTACCAGATAACACAGATCCCTGTACCACCAATTCTGCAATCTCTCTCCTTTTTAAACAGTGGACTTCTGTTCTATACACACAATATTCTGGCATACTAAAAGAGCTCTTGCAAATCACTGCAGCAACTGAATTTGCTGGGATGTATCCGGAGGGCTGATGTCTCCGTGCATATCAAGTTTCTAGATGTGGTGACTCCACAGCTTAAGATGTGCACACAGACAGAATGGCTGATTGCTGAACAATCCAGGAGCAACAGGTTACTCGTGTAGCAGTCCCCTCAGTGCATCATGTTCAATTATTAGTGAGAATGATGGTTCCTCTCAAGTGCAGCCAGGGCCACTTGGCACTATCTCTGGTTCAGCTATATTAGAAGGCAGGGGAAGATATGTGGACGACACTTCTGTAATTATGAAAAGAACAGAAGTTGAGACCACCCATTGACTCATCAACACCATACTCGCAGGGATCAAATTTACAAGAGAAGAGATGGTGGAAAGAAAAGAACAATGACTTCACTACAAAAGTATACAGGAAATCCACACATACTGACCAGGTCTTAAACTATCACAGCAACCACCCCAACTCTCAAGAAAAGCGGCATTAGGACCCTGTTCAAAAGGGTCACTACCCACTGCAGCACACCTGATCTGCAGAAGGAAGAAGAACACCTCTACAAGGTCTTTACCAGGAATGGATACCCCCACAGCTTCATCCACAGATGTCTGGCCAACAGGCACACAACCAAGACAAACTAAAACCCCCCGAAACAATAGCCACCATACCATATATAAAAAAAACCTCAGAACTGACAGCGAGACTACTCGGACCGCTAGGAATCATGACAGCACACAAACCAGCAGCCACACTAAGACAGCAACTGATCAGGGTTAAAGACCCAATAGATACCATGGACAGGACGAATGTGGTTTACAAGATACCATGCGGAGGCTGCACGAAACACTACGTGGAACAAACAGGCAGACAACTAGCAACCCGCATCTAAGAACACTAGCTAGCAACTAAACAACACGACCAGATGTCCTTGGTTTCAATACACACAGATGAGAAAAACCACACTTTCAACAAGGACAACACTACTATCATTGGACAAGCCAAACAGAGGACAGCCAGGTTGTCTTGGGTTGGCATTCATCCATGGACTCCATCAACAAACACATTGTATTAGACCCAATATACTAACCATTACAACACAATCGAAACCAGCACCTACTGGAAGCAGCAAAAACCAGATTGTATAAATCAAACTGGTGCAAGACGACAGCGCTTTTCACAGACAACAAGGTGCAGGGCTGGCTGAACACCGCAGGCCAAGCAGCATCATAGGAGCAGAAAGGCTGACGTTTCGGGCCTAGACCCTTCATCAGAAAAGCACAGGAGGTTCCACAGCACTGAGGACGTCGCCTAGTAAGGTGACAAAACGTTTGCTATCAAACCTCCCAGCTCGGCAAACACACCAACGTCTATGAAAAGCAATAATGATGAGCGTTTCATAGTTAGGACTATAGACATTCATATCTGAAACAGTGGACCTAAATCTAAAATGGTATCTTAGTTGCTATGGTACTATGGTCAGGCGATGTGATGGAAGGTGGACAGCCAAAGGTAATTGTTAATATTAATGTAACAACATTGAGCATAACATTTAAAGAGTAGGAGTAGAGAATTTGGCCCATCATTCTTGCTCCACCTTTCCACAAGATCCTAGTTGATTTGATTATTCAGCCTTAATTTCATCTGCTTACCTGTTCCTCCATAATCCATCACTCCCATGCAGATCAAAAATGAGCCTAACTCCGCCTTCAGTATATTTAATAACTCTGTTTCCACTGCTTCCTGACAGCATAGGGGTGGCGCGGTGGCTCAGTGGTTAGCATTGCTGCCTCAGCTCCAGGGACCCAAGTTCGATTCCACACTTGGGCGACCTTCTGTGTGGAATTTGCACATTTTCAGTGTCTGCGTGGGTTTTCTCTGGGAGCTCTGGTTTTCTCGCACAGTCCAAAGATGTGTAGGCTAGGTGGATTAACAATGGAAAATGCAGGTTTACAGGGATAGGGTAGGGATATGGGTCTGGATGGGATGGTCTCTGGAGGGTCAGTGTGGAGTAAATGGCCTACTTCCACACTGTAGGGACTCTGTGTGGTTCATATTTGAGATTTCGTTAGAGGAAAAATGCTCACAGTACCTACCCTGTCAAGTCCCCTCGTAATCTCTAAATAAGATCACTTCTCATTCCTTTGAATTTTAATAAATAGGACATTTCATCCCACAAATAAACAAAGTGAACATTCTGGGAACTGCCTCCAGTGCAAGTGTATATCTCCTTTAAAAAGGAGATCAAAACTATACACAGTACTCTAATATGTATTCTCACCTGTACAGTTAAAGTAAGAATTCTCCTTTTTCATATTCCATCCCTCTTGTGTTTCAGGCCAACACGTGCCTTCCTAATAATTACTTGCTTCACATGCATGTTAACTCTTATTAATGTAGAAGGACACCCAGACCCCTCAATACGACAACATTGTGCAACGTCTCCCCAGGGGGAGGCATGGTGACTGAGTGGTTAGTACTGTTACCTCACAGCACCTGAGGACCAGGTTGAATTCCAGCCTTGGGCGACGGTCTTTGTGGAGTTTGCACATTCTCCCTATGTCTGCGTGCGTTTCTGCCAGGTGCTCGGGTTTCCCCCCCACAGTCCAAACGTGTGTTTTAGGTGGATTGGCCATGCTAAATTACCCATCGTGTCCAGGGATGTGCAGGCTAGGTGGGTTAGCCATGGCAAATGCAGGGTTACAGGGGTAGAGTAGGGGCGTGGATATGGAAGGGATGTTTGTTGGAGGGTTGGTGTGGATTCAGTTGATGGGGTGGGGGGTGCGAATGGCCTGTTTCCACATGGTAGGGTTTCTATGATTCTGGTTTTCCAATCTTCCAACCCAAGTACACAACATTACATTTTCCCATGTTATACTCCGTCTGGTGGAGTTGCAGATAGTGAGGAGGATTGTCAGAATACAGCAGGATACAGATCAGTTGGAGGCATGGGCAGAAAAATGGAGATGGAGTTTAATCTGGACAAATGTGAGAGAATGCATTTTGGAAGGTCAAGTACAAGTGGAAATTATGCAATGAATGGCAGAACCCTTAAGATTATTGATATGCAGAGAGTTCTGGGTGTGCAGGTCCACAGATCACTGAAGGTGGCAGTGCAGGTAGGTAAGGTTGTAAAAAAGGCTTATGGCAAGCTTGCTTTCGTTGGAAGGGCATTGAGTATAAGGATAGACAAGTTATGCTGCAGCTTTATAGAACTTTTATTAGGCCACACTTGGAATATTGTGTTCAGTTCTGGTCACCACACACTCAGAAGGATGTGGATGCTTTGGAGAGGGCATAGAAAAGGTTTACCAGGATGTTGCCTGTTACGGGGGATTTTAGCTATGAAGAAAGTTTGGATAGACTGGATTTGTTTTCAAGGGAACACAGGAGGTTGAGCAACGACCTAATAGAACTTTATAAGATTGTGAATGGCATGGATCGGGTGGAAAGTGAGGCTTTTTCCCAGTGTGGAGGGTTCAATTACTAGGGGACACAGGTTCAGAGTGGGGGGGGGGGGGGGGGGGGGGGGAGTTTAAAAGAGATGTGCGAGGCACATTTTTTGCACAAAAAGGTGGTGAGTGCCTGGAACGTGTTGCCAGAGGAGATAATGGAAGCAAACACAATAGCAGCAGTCAAGAAGTACTTGGATGAGTACATGAATAGGAAGGGAATAGATGGATACGAATCCTGTAAGTGAAGACAGTGTCAATATGGAAGGGCAAAATGTGTCAGCATAGGCTTGGAGGGCTGAAGGGTCTGTTCCTGTGCTGTATTGTTCTTATTGCAAAGAACAAAGTTTTGCCCAGTCAAGCTATCTACATCCATTTGATTTGGTGTTTGTTGTCACGTACCCAAGTACGGTGGAAAGTTTTTTTATTTTTATGATCTGCCTGTACTGCACACTATATAACATAAAAGGACATACAGATTGCAGGTTGTTTAGACAGCACGAGGCATACCAGGTTACAGCTGCACAGCAAGTTGAACATTAGATTTGAAATTAGAGATGTCTATTCAGCAGTCTTATAACAGCAAGGAAGAAGCTGTTCTTGAACCTGTTTAAGCTTCTGTATCTTCTGCTTGACTGAAGAGGTTACAAGAGTGGTATTTGCAAGACAGTGTCCTCCTCCGTATTCTTGTATAATCGTATTTGGCTTCAAGACAGTCTATCCTTTTTAAACAAGTTATTGTTAAGGTTCTAGCACTGATCCTGTGGTACTCCACTTTTTACAGCTTATAGACCATTTATCTGCATCCTCAGTTTCCTGTTAGTTAAATAATCTTTCCATCCTAATATATTGACCCCAACTATATGAATTCTTAGATTGTGCAGTAAATTTTTGTGGCGTCTTTTTGGGTTTACAAATTTACAATATCTACTGGTTTCCATACATCTATGTAAATCCTTAATAAACTCAAATATATTTGTCAACCACTTTCTCTTTCACTGTCAAATGTGGATTACGACTTCATAGAATCGTAGAATCCCTACAGTGTGGAAACAGGCCGTTCGGCCCAACAAGCCCACACCGACCCTCGGAGCATCCCACCCAGACCCATACCCCTATAACCCACCTAATCTACACATCCCTGAACGCTATGGGCAATTTAGCATGGCTGTGGGAGGAAACTAGAGCACCCGGAGGAAACCCACGCAGACATGGGGAGGATGTGCAAACTCCACACAGACAATCGCCCGAGGGTTGAATCGAACCCAGGTCCCTGGCGCTGTGAGGCTGCAGTGCTAACCACTGAGCCACCATGCCGCCCCATTCTTGTTCTTTGCTCATGACAGGGAGCTATTTGGCAAGGCAGCAAACACACCAGCATCTCAGTCTGCATCAGCATCATTCTCTTGTTGCCAGCACTTTGAGGTCCTAATCTGTTTACACTCTAGTTGAACCTTTTTGGTTATATCATCCTCTATGAAACAGACTTGAGCTGTCCTTTCCCCTTGGCTTGACTACAGCTCACTTGTGTCTGGTGAGTTATCACATCCTCTCCTCTACACTAAACTTTAACACAGGTACAGTGCCAGAATCTGAGGAGCTGCCTCAAAAAGTCAGACCAAGTCTTGGGGCCTCTTCTTAAGAACTGTTTCCTTTTTCTCCTCTACTGAATGTACTGTGGCTGGGCACTTAGCAGTTCCTCATTACCTAAAAGCTAAGGAGGGTTGGGATAAGGAGTGGAAAACAAGGCTTTCATGGTAATTATTTACAGCTTGCATATTATGCCATGCAGCAGGATTGTGGGTGTGTCGTAGTGAAGTAAAATCATCTGGCAATTAACAAATATGCAAGTACCAAAGGGTTAACCAGTACTGTTTCACCTCAGTGATACGTAATGGATTGACCCAACATCCCAGTGTCACTGCATGCCGCAACTGTCATAGTTGAGTTATGATGCATGACAGGCATGGTGAAGGTGCATGGAACCTATGGGAACTGGGTGTGAGATCACTAGCATTGGAGTATGTATAAGGGAAGGGTGGTGAAGTGTCTGGATGTTAGATATGGAACTTGATTGCCAGGGATTAATGATGGCGGCATGGTGATTGAGTAGCATGAGATTTTGGTTTGGTGCTAGAAGATGTATTTGCTGTGAAATCATTAAACACCTTGTAATGCTGCTGCTAAGTCCTCAAGGCTATATTCTGGGAATTAACCACTTTCTGTAACTTCTCGCATTCCCTTTTGAGGGTGCTGTTGGCAGCTTTCTGACTGGAAAATAAGGCCGCACCTCTATCCAATCTACTACTGCATCCATGAACCCAAGTGCTGTCTTCCCGGTCCTGAATTTAACAGTAGTCTCCTCTGATTCAATGCAACTTTACTTTATAAGGGCCAGAGCTCCTTTAAGAGGGGCACACTGTCTGTCTGTGACTTGTACTCATTAAATTCTGCTCAGTGCCTAGTTGAACTGACAGGCAAACAGCAACTTATACTGCACTGAAACCAACACTGCAACAGGGAAATGACACAACAACTGCTGCCTACCTCCACATCACCAGCTAGGGCACAAAACACAACTTTATACCCAAAAAAAGGTTATTAAAGCTTATTAGATGCTTAAGATATGAACTAGTGCTCTGCATAAAATTCTATTTTACAGAAGATATGAGCAAACTTAGGCCTGAGCTAAAGTGTAATAAACAGATTGATCCATCAGGTTAGAGGATAGGACTTATACCAAAAATCATAATACCCAAAACTTCAACTTTCTTCAATTGGTCATTGATCCCAATAAGTTTTTTTTTATATAACCAGTCAACATTTTAAATGGACTAGATGTTTTCTGTCATCTTACTCGAGATTTTAGTTGCAGTATCTTTGATAATTGTAGATCACTAAAATTTAAGGCCTAATTTTGCTTTATTTAACCAAGTGAGAAAGCAATAAGTGAAGGAGTCAAAAACCCCATAATTTGAATGTTAAACAGTGAATTTTCCTTGTGTTCCACCTCACTGTAAGGGATGATTCATTCTGAGCGCTGCACCCTCAAATTCCAAACGATCTGGGATTTAATCAGCTCCATACCTTTAAATATCCTGAAAGCAGTTTACAGGGCTTCTCAGATTTGAATTGTTGTTGGCCACTTTGGAAAGTAACCACTTGACTCTCATGCACAAATGAATAAAACATCGTCCCTGTTCTGAAGTAGCTGAATCCCTCCCTCGCACTGAAGAGAACCAACATAACTTACATTTGTATCAAATTAAGCTCACAAAGGTTCTGGGTGTTCTGTGCAAGAGGGAGACTCCTTATAAGTTAACAAATAGTACAGTTTTTTTCAGCGAATTAATCCTATCAGTTGTGTTTCTGTTCTTTGGGAAACATTGATACAAAAGTATATAACGACATCAGTAAGCAGGGCAAATCTTTGTGGGTTACACAAGTATAATCTCTCAAACTGATCAGAGTTCTGAACAATTAGTAGCAAGAGCACTGGGTGATCATAGCCACCCTGACAGAAATCAGCTAAAGCAGCAGGAGTTCAATCTGGGATTTGTATTTTACAGCTGGTTGCCCAACTGAGACACAGGACAGCTGTAAGTGTTTTTCTTATGTTCATGTTTGTTAAAATTATGATGGTAACATTCCTTTGTGTGCAGAAGGATTCTTAGTTGATCTCTTTCTGATCTCTTTTACAGATTTGCCAGGCGCCTCCAGAAAACAGTGAGACGCCTGGTTCCCGACTGTGAGGTCCGATTTCTCCTTTCGGAAAGTGGCAGTGGAAAAGGTGCTGCCATGGTTACTGCAGTGGCCGCAAGGCTTGCTTCACAACGCAAAGAAATAGATGAAACACTGGCTTCATTCACACTCACGCAAGAACAACTGTTTGAGGTGAAGAAGAGAATGAGAACAGAGATGGAGCTTGGTTTAAAGAAGAAATCTCATGAGACTGCAACAGTGAAAATGTTGCCAACCTTTGTTCGTAGCACCCCAGATGGGACAGGTACTCAAGTTATAACTAAAATTTTAGTCTGTGTACTTACTATTGACTAATATTCCAACAGCCGATATGTATTTATCCAGGCCTAACAGAGTAAAACACCCCAAGACACTCTAAATGAGAGTCATAAAGCAGTATTTGATATAAATGAGAGCCGTAAAGCACTACATATTAGATAAGCTTAGAAAAAGATGTAGGTTTTAAGAAACCGATTTTAAACGAAGAGATTTAGGGAGGAAATTCTGGAGTTTAGGGTTTGGCAGTTTAAGGCATGGCCAACAATTGTGGAGGGATTTAATTTTCAGACTTTTGAAACTTTCAAAGTAAGATTTGGTATGCATATAAACCAGTCCATTAAGATATCAGGCTAGATGGATAAAGTGGTTAAGACGTTTTGAGGTATACTTGCTGTTATTAGTCAAGACATAGTTTGAGAGCAGAGCGGTAATTGCTGGAACTATATAAAACATTGTTTGGCCACAGCTAGAGTAATTGTGCGGTTCTGAAATCCACATTTTGGAGGGGTGTGACAGCATTGGAGCGGGTGCAGGGGAGATTTACCCAGGATATTCAGGGCTTCAGTTATGAAAAGAAATTGGACAGACTGGAGTAGTTGTCCCTACACTAGAGGAAATTAAGAGGGGGCATGATTGAGATAGATATAATAATGAGGGTTATAGATGGGGTAGACAGAAAGAAACTTTCCCCTTGATGGAGACATCATTGACCGGAGCATAGATATAAGGCAAGGAACAGAAGGTTTAGAAGAGAGGTGAGGAAGATCTTTTTCACTGATGACTGATGGGCACCTGGAACTCTCTGCCTGTTAAGTGTGGTAGAGGCAGAAACCCTTAACTTTTAAGAGGTATTTAGATGTGCATTTATGATGCCAAGGCAAACAAGGCGATGGGCCCAGTGCTGGAAAATGGGATTAGAATAAATAGGTATCAGAGATAGTAGGAACTGTAGATGCTGGAGAATCTGAGATAACACGGTGTAGAGCTGGATGAACACAGCAGGCCAAGCAGCATCTTCAGAAGAAGGGTCTAGGCCCAAAACGTCAGCCTTCCTGCTCCTCTGATGCTGCTTGGCCTGCTGTGTTCATCCAGCTCTATACCTTGTTATCTCATGGTAATCTGAAAGCCCTTTTTCTGTGCTGTAGATCTCAATGTCTCTGAAACGAGCACAGATATTTCCAAGGTTGTGTTGTTGGAGAGAAAAAATAGGGAGGAATGAAGCCATGGAAGGATTTAAAAACAGGAATAATAATCTTAAAATAGAGGCATTGTTGAACTGGGAGTCAGCGTAAGTCAAGGAAAGTGGGTGAGCAGGATTTAGTGAGAATTAGAACGCAGGCAAACAGAGGTTTGCTTGACCTCTGGGTTCCAAAGGGTGGGATGTGGGAAACCAGCCAGGAGTATGTCGGAACAGTCAAGTTTAGAGATTGTGACGGTACAGAAGACGGTTTTAACAGCAGGTGCAATGTGGCAGCAATGTAGTCAGGTGATCTTTGAGACATGGAAATAGTTGGTCATAGGTGACGTAAAAGTTTGGTTGGAAGCTCATCTTGGATGAAATGAGACAGACTGGTTCAGCCTCAGACATTAAACAGGGTGAGAGAGAGAATCGTAGGCTGGGGATTGAATTTTGTCACAGGGATCAAAAACATCTAGTTCAATTCTGGATGTCAGAAAATTATTCTGGAAGTTTAAAGAGTAATTGAGAGGTGGTGGTGTCAGCTTGTGTGGATGATAACAGCACGTAAATGAGAAATAGAGCTCCAAGGATAGAACCATGAGGGACATCAGAGGTATTGGAATGGGGGAGAAACCACTTAACCAGTTGCATCCTCTTAAGGTATTCTTGGGTCACATCCAAAGAGGTGCCATATCTCTCCAAAGAAAAACTAAGTTTAAAGCCAGTCTTCCCAGACCTACTTCAGATTTTACAGACCTGGGCTCTCAAAATCCAACTTGAGTTGAGGCACCTGATGACTTGAATGCCTGGCTGCCACTGTGACCCTAATATGCATGAGAAAAAGTCAACAGGCATTTAGAAACGTTTGAGTTTAATAAAGAGAACCAATATGGATTTGTAGAAGGGCAATCGTGCTTTACTAATTACATGTTTGGTAAAGTTACAGAGAAGGTTGATGGAGAGTGTGTGGTGGGATATAGATTTTTAAGAATGTAAGCTTATTTTCAAAAACTACACATTGATAATAGAGATAACAAGGTATGGAGCTGGATGAACACAGCAGGCCAAGCAGCATCAGAGG